AAATTGTAAGAAAAATAAGATTACCAAGTAATCTTAAAATACTTAAGAAAATAGAGGCAATCAGATTACCTCCTATATTACCAACAATAATTACTATTGGTTTTGGAAGATTACCAGAATCTTATATTAGTTAACAACCAAATGTGGTAATCAAGTATTATAAGATGACATTACCTTAGTAATCATATATAACCCTTAACCAAAAACACCCTCAGGGGGCATTTGGTTCAGAGACTGTTGGATTACTAAAAAGTTAGATTACCTTGAAGATTACTAGGAATCTTTAGGAACATATGTTTGGTTAATTGATGGGTATATTATATTAATATGTTTGGTTTGGAGGAATAAATTGGTGAGTATGTTATTTAAATTATTGAACTGTCCTCTAATTAAATATTAATTATATTATTTGGAATATTATAACCCCCCTGCATTTAAAAACTTAGCAAAAACAACCCTATAATAAAAGTTTGGAAAATCAACAAAGTACCCCCACCAACCCAGCCACTGCCGGCCGCCTGCAGCCGGCAATCTAACAGCGCACAGAAGGCAGGAAATGATCTCCGTGCGCCGTATGGCCATTTCTGGCTAGAGATCTAGCCAGAAATGGCTAGACATGATAGATCTGGCTGTCGACAACTAGATCTAATATGGCCGTTAACAGCCATATCGATGATGGATCTGGTCGAAAATGGTCATATCGGCTCACGATGGCCATTTTTGGCCTTCTGTATGCCATTTTGGCCGTGGCGGTGGTTGTCGGCGGCATGCCACGATAGGTGGGTGGGGGTGGTGGCTTGGGTGGGCTACAATTTATTTTGAATTCAAGGGTAATTTTGTCCAAAAAGTTAATTAATTGAGGTGAAATAGTAAAAGTCATATTCATGTAAATAAATTTAAAAATAAGGGCATTATTGTCCTAAAATTTTATTAATAAGAGATAAAAGTGTAATAAAAAAAGATAACATTGGTAATCTTAGAATACCTAAGAAAATAGAGGTAATCAGATTACCTCTAATATTACCAATAGTAACCACTATTGGTATTTGAAGATTACCGGTATCTTATATTACTTGATAACCAAACATGATAATCAAGTAATATAAAATAACTTAACTCTAGTAATCCCCAATAACCCCCAACCAAACGCCCCCTTACAGTTATCTATGTAAGGCCAAAGACTATCATTTCTTGTTTCTCTAAGATTGTAAAGTTCGACAGGGCAAAACCCCTTCCGATACTCAAATTTGTAATTGAAACCCTTATAATTTGGTCTAGTAAGGGTTAATGTAGGGTTCAATTGGGGACCCCTTATGATTTAGCCTGATAGGGGTTAATTCTCAAAGATTGTAGGATTAAGTAGGGCTCCAATTTCTAACTCAAATTCATTTTGTTTTCGATGAGGAACCCTTTGTGTGATTTGGTTTGGTAGGAGTCAATTCTCAAAGATTGTAGAATACGATAACAACTTCACTTCGGAAGTCAAATTTGCAAAATGAGTTTGGAGGTTCTCTCTATTATCAAAGTGTGTACACACACACACACACACACACACACAAATATATATATATATATATAATTTGAGTTATGAAAATAGTTTTACTCTTTAAAGAAAGTGAAGTGATTTTTAGCCCCATATAATTGATCATAGCCCCATTATTAAGTACACCATCTTTATATTAAAGAAATTAATTATTAAGTACACCATCTTTATATTAAAGAAATTAAGTATACCGTCTTTATATTCAATTTCTTTAAAGAGTAAATCTATTTTCACAACTCAAATTATGGAGCCCATTTGATTCAATAAGGAGGTGATCATCTACTTAAGTTGGTATAAGTGTTATGGCCTCAATAAATGGGCTTGTGGGCTTTATTAAGCCCACCTATGTAATGTGACTTTAAGAAAATAGGCCCATTAACATAATCAACTCTTTAAAGTGGAAAATTACATTTCAGAAATTAAATTAATTAATTACTAATTTTATTGTTTGTGTCTAGCTTTATATTGCATCTTATTCCGATTTCAAGGTCCAGAAAACAAAAACATTGGTTTAGAATTGGTAAACAAAAATGCGTCACTCATTTCATCATCTCTTGTTAGAACCGACACCTTATAAGCCTATTGAAAGGAGAGAAAAAATTCTTGCTGACTTTAATTATTTAATTAAATTATATATGAACATCAGATTCATGTTTCTAATTAGTTAATTAATTAAATTTATTCTTCATATAATTTGACTCCACATTAGCTAACTAATATACACTGACTTGTTAACTCCCTAACCTTATATTATAATTCAATTAATCACTTTCATGAATGGGACATTCCTCCTTCTCGTATAGTCAAAATGACAGAATTAGCCTTAACAACTTTTATCAATCTGGGGACAATTTTTTCAAAATTTATGAGAAAAAGTATACAAATTTTTAAAATATACTTAAAATCTATAAAAAAAATCCTTTAATTACTGTTACATTTAACGAAAAAATTATTAAATAACAAACCCGTTTGATATATAATTTAAATACATTTTTTTTTTTTTACCTTTCTCCGTTTTATATTCAAATAGCAAGAGAGATAATTACTAGGTTTACCAATAAAAAAAAATACAGTTTAACAAAATAAATAAATTTTTTGATTCCATAAAATGAAAATTTAAATGTACTGTTAATGCCAGGTGCATACAGTTGTTCAAAATTGACTTAGTCTTAGTTTTAATTTAATTTCTCCATGCATTACGCAAATGGTAATTTTAAATACATTTTATATTTTATTTTTATTGATTTAAAAGTAATGTGAACATGACATTAATGATTTAATTCCCAACACAAATTATAAAAATTCAACGTGCATTATAATTGCTGCCTGGGAATATCTTTTGGCAGATATCGATGCATCGATTAAGGTAAGTGATTTTCATTGACTTAGCTGAACATTTATTTATTTATTTTATAATAATCTTATTTACTTAGAGGATATTTAAAATTAATTTATGGATTAGGTATTTATATTCTTTTACAAATTATTATTAAATATGATCAAAACAATATATGTAAACATTTAAAATTCGTGGTTTTTCACCGTCACAAGTTAATTATTTGATGTTACAAGTCTATTGTTTATGTTATGAATTCATCATAAAATTGATCAGTGTAGCATTAATTACTGTTATGTCATATATATATTTGAAGAACCTCGACAAAAATATTAATTATAACTTCAAATGTGATAAAGTCTTCTTATCTTTCTTCACCATTCTTTGCAGCATCTAGAATTATTAAAAATTTGTAACTCCACTTTTCTAACAAAGCATATAGAAATGAGATTTTAATAATTTTTTTTTATGAGTGCTTAAAATTATTTTATATTTAATATGATTGAAAACGTGCATAACATTGTTATTTTTTATTTTATTTAGATATAATTGAGATAGTTTTATAGCGGATAAAGTATTTATGGAATAAAATTTTAAAACCAACCAAAACCAGTTTTATAAACCCCTCAAAAATATACTATACTGGTTCTGGGAGGTTTTTAAACTAGTCAAAACCAGTACATAAAAAATTTAACAAATAATAAAACACTTTAAAACCAGTCTAATTAAAAACCGCTCAAAACCAGTAAAAAAAAAGCCTCTGACGCATACCCTTAACAGAAAATTAATAAGATGGATATATTACACTTGTAATATATTGTTTAGTTGGTGTAACGTGGGAAATATAAATAATTAAATATGGAGTAATTATAATTAGGAAATTAATTAAAGTCAAATATAGAAAGAGGAACGTGTTGAGAAAGCAGAAGCACGTGGTTTGAGAAAAATCAGAGAAATCAAGCTGGCTCTAGCTTTATATTACCTATTAAGCCAAACACGACCTAAATGCCCTTATTTTATTAATTCTGTTTGGTTTGTGGAGTGGATTAGAAGTGGATGAAATGAAAGTATTATAAATAGAAATCATGGAATGGAATAAATAGAATAAGATTACTTTATTCGCTTTTAGTAAAAAATATGGATGGAATGGAAAACAATTTGTTGCTTTTGGACTAAAATGCCCTTAATTTATTTTATTAAATAAATATTTTTTATTTTCTATTTAAATATAAATTTCAAAAAATTAAAAGTTAAAAAATCAGAAAAATAAAAAATATTTTAAAAATTTTAAACTAGTCAACGCTGGTCAAACTCATCAATCGGCGAATTTGTACCATGCTCCCAACATCACTGCTGGTGCGTGAGCAATCTTGGCCGACGAATTTGGTCCGTGTTTAACAATTTGAAGATTTTCTAATATTTTGAAAATTTAGAAATTTCTTAAAATTTCTTAAAATTTCTAAATATTAAATTAATAGTACATTATAATATATTTATAAAATAATTTAGATTTAAATAAATTGATTTAGAGGTAAAATGGGAAATCAAATTTAAATTCATTGCAAAAATTGAACATTGATCAAAGTATATCCTTAAGCTCTAACGTCGTCAAAGTTCGTTAAAGGGTAATGGGCATTTTCGTCATTCCACTTTAATAAGTTTTTAATTAATCTTGATTAAGCTTTAATCCCATCCAAGTAAAAACTATTGTAAATTACATTTCAAAATTTAGAACCCTATAACTATTTTCATCTTTTTATCTTCTTACCTATTTCCTTTTATCTCTCATCAAAATATAGAAGGTAATGAAATAAATAGTTTAAGATTTATATAAAAATATGATATTTTCATTTCTCATTATTGGCCCCTCATATTTTTATTTCTATATTGGCCCCTCTCATCCGCTAAACTTGACAGTTTAACCCCTAAAACACAGAGTTAATACATTTTGGTCCTTGAGGCTTGCCCTATAAGATTCCAAGAGTTCAATTCGGTGGAGACTTTTCCATCCTTTCTCCATCTGCAAACAGCTGTTTACTGTCATATTCAAACCTTCCATTCACATCAAAACCAATCAACTTGATATTTTAATTCCAGACAAAATTTAATTATTTAATTCAATTTCAAAATCATTACAGTAATTAATCTAGTCAACGTACTCTTCTTCTTCAAATATTTATACAGGGGCGTTCAAGCTAATAATCTCAGAGAGGGAGAGCGTGAAGAAGGATATATAATAAAAAAAAAAATGCACGGCGGCAACCACTGGGGAGGCTCGTTGGAGATCGTAGACCAGAACGATAACCAAAAGAGTCGTGAATTAAGCGAGTGGGACAAAGCGTCGTTGCATTCGCAGCAACATCTACATCATCATCATCATCATCTCGATGAGACGCAGCAGAGCTGGCTACTTGGACCTCCAGAAAAGAAGAAGAAGAAGTACGTAGACTTGGGATGCATTTTGTTAAGCCGCAAGGCGTTTAAATGGACGCTCTTGTCTATCGCCATCGCCTTTGTGGTTATCGCTCTCCCGATCATCATCGTTAAAACGATTCCCAAACACAAAGCCAAACCTCCTCCTCCGGATAATTATACCGTCGCCCTCCAGAAGGCTCTCCTCTTCTTCAATGCTCAGAAGTGTAAGTCTATCTCGTCGATTTCGCCATTTTTGTTCTTGATTTTGATTGTTTATAACATTCTGCATGCTCTCTTAGAACTCAGAAGAACAGGCGTGTAGTTTTTTTTTTTTTTTTTGGCTAATTACGACGGTGCCGGTACCTTTAAAATTATTGTTTTTCTTTTTTATTTATTAATTACGCTAACGTTACCTTTAAAAATATCGTTTTCCTTTTCTAACTTATTGATTATGGTAACATTACCTCTAAAATTATCGTTTTTTTTTTTTATTTAGCTTTTAAATTACCATCGAAATGATGATAACGTTAGTCAATATTAAGATCATAACTTAAAGGTTAAAAATAAGACAATAATATCTATTACATCATATTAAATTACGCCGAATAAAGTTTTTAGACCATCATCGAAAAGTGAAGAGGTGTTACCTTTTTTAATTATGATCGAATCGGATAAAGTTATCGTCATACCTTTTGAATTATGGTCGAGTAAGTTTTTACATAGTAAAACAAAGATCGAGAAAGGGATAGCATTAGTCGTACCACTTTTTGAATTCGGATTGATTAAGTTTTGTCACTATAATTCGAAAGTCGAGAAAGAAATAGCGTAACCCTAACATATTTTATTTTTTAAAAGTAATTTGGACCGTCCGATTATATTTTCGGGTTGATCGATTGAGTCTTGCTCTATAAGGTTCAAAAAATAATCCCTTGATCATAGTATGAATTGGTTGATTAATTTACACGGCTTACTTGACTAAGAGGGAATAGCCTAAAGAATAAAACTCCGTGTGGGTCCAATTTATAAGAAGAAATTAATAATAAATTTTCAATTATTTAATTATAATAATTTCTTACCTCATAATATGGGAATAATAGTGATATAAGCGAGGTTTAATTTTTTTCTTAATTTTAAAATAATTAAAATGAAGTATTATTCTGGATCCCATGTGCTTCAACTGAGATCTTCTTCTTCCATGGTTGATTAATGCATGATTTTAAAGGTGTAGTTAATTTGTGTTTGTGGGTGCAGCTGGGAAATTGCCGAAGAGCAATGGGATATCATGGAGGGGGAATTCAGGGCTGAATGATGGGAGTAATTTGAGTGATGTTAAAGGAGGTCTTGTTGGAGGATATTATGATGCTGGTGATAACACAAAGTTTCATTTTCCAATGTCATATGCCATGACAATGCTGAGTTGGAGTTTGATTGAATACAGTCACAAATATGAAACCATTGGAGAGTACGACCATGTCAGAGATCTCATCAAATGGGGCACTGACTATTTGCTTCTTACCTTCAATTCTACTGCCACCAAGATTAACCAAATCCATGCCCAGGTTGGTGGATCTCAGAATGGCACTTCAGAACCAGATGATCACTACTGTTGGACGAGACCAGAAGACATGGACTATCGAAGACCAGTACAAACAATCCAGGCAGGCCCTGATCTCGCCGGGGAAATGGCGGCGGCTCTCGCGGCAGCCTCCATTGTTTTCCGTGACAATTCTGCATACTCCAAGAAGCTGATCAAAGGTGCCAAAACAGTGTTTGATTTCGCCCGAGACGGCGGCAAACGAAGAACGTATTCAAGAGGGAACCCTTACATCGAGCCATATTATAACTCTACTGGCTATTATGATGAATATATGTGGGGAGCTGCATGGCTGTATTATGCCACTGGGAATAATTCCTATATTTCCCTGGCAACAAATTCTGGATTGCCGAAGCATTCCAGGGCATTTTTTATGACGCCTGATAATATTGTTCTCAATTGGGATAATAAACTGCCTGCTGCCATGCTCCTGTTGACAAGGTTCAGGATTTTCCTGAATCCTGGATATCCTTATGAGGACATGTTGAGGATGTATCACAACACAACAACTCTTACTATGTGCTCTTATCTTCAGCAATTCCATGTCTTCAACTGGACTAAAGGTATGCGCTTCTGTTCGTTTATGAACTCATTTCCTTTTCCCTTTTTTTTTTTTTTTTTTCATTTTCTAATCATTTTTAATATTTTAGAAAATAGAAGATGAATTCACAAAATTTATAACAGAATACTCGTAGTTTTCTCTTTTATCTATCTTCTAAGACGAACGTCTGCAAGAAAGAATGACTTTAGATAGATAATGAGTTGTTGATTGATAGAGATGGATTGATGTTTTAATCAGGGGGAATGATCGAACTGAACCATGGAAAAGCACAGCCTCTGCAGTATATGGCTAATGCTGCTTTCTTGGCATCTCTGTTTGTTGATTACCTGAATGCTACTGATGTTCCTGGTTTCACCTGTGGTCCTTCTTTCATTTCATTAGATCAGCTAAGGAATTTCTCAACCTCTCAGGTAATCGATCAATCTATCCGTTTCACATACGATTTCATAATTGACTGCTTGTATGTGCAGCGAATGCACGGAAGCCTCTTGAATGATCACTAATTGGTCATTTTTATATTTTGCACAGGTGGATTACATTCTGGGTAAGAACCCCTTGAAGATGAGCTATGTGGTGGGGTTCGGCAACAAGTTTCCCAGGCATGTACATCACCGGGGTGCTTCAATACCCAAAGACAACAAGAAGTACTCATGCACTGGAGGATTCAAGTGGCGCGACACCAAGAATCCCAACCCTCACAACATTACGGGAGCCATGGTTGGAGGGCCTGATAAGTTTGACAAGTTTCGCGACGTGCGTGGCAATTATAGCTACACCGAGCCAACATTAGCTGGGAACGCTGGCCTGGTTGCTGCACTTGCATCCTTGACAACAACCGCTGGTTATGGCATTGACAAAAACACCATGTTTACAGCTGTTCCACCACTGTATCCACAGAGCCCTCCCCCTCCAGCTCCTTGGAAGCCTTGAACTGCTATGTATAATAAACTTCGTACATGCTAATGTCCCTCAAGTTTTGGTTTTACTTTTACATTCTTGCTTGTACAAAAACGTCAGATATGTTTATTCATACAATGATATCAGAGAGTGACATTGACATATCTTCTCATACGTGCATACATTTACGTAACATATCATGAAACCGTTCAAACTAATCGAGCAAAATATGCCTGTGGAAAGTATGAACCTGTCAACCACCAACCTTTACTTGCTAAATGAAGTAAAAATTATATGTACTTTCCGATTTTGCTGAGTCGTAGACATTGAAGATTGATTCCTCAAAAAGAAAAGCAAGACGAAAGACACAACCAAACCACTTTTCAAATTTCTGGGAATGTACAGTTATGATCACTAACATCCTGCATTGAATCAATGGTCTAAGTTCAAGATAACTGTTTACGATGCAAGCAGAAAATGGCGCAGAAGGACAGCATTGATTTTTAAGCGGTTTCATTATTTCAAGGACATTAAGAATGGGTGTAATTTTGAAGCACAGTTGCATTTTAACCAGCAAAAGTTGGGACTGTGTTTCAGCTTATTATTGCTTATAGCAGGAATCAGGTTCATAGGGAGTACCACGACCGCCTGCAGCAAGTGGAGCAGCTGCAATTCCTCTTTGATTTAGCAAACACCTGAAGTGAGCCAGCCTTCCAGTAACTAGTGTTGTATCCTTTGCCAGCTTACCATACGGTGTCCATAATCGCTCTTCAGCGCGAGAGGGAGCAAAAGGAAGAACATCAATATTGTTAGAAGTTTATACGGTGCAAACGACTAAATATTGAGCCAATATAAAAGGGAAGTACCAGCAGCTGCTGCAGCACGTGGCCATATCGTTTGCTGAATATCTGAGGCATCGACTGTTTCACCCCACATGCAAACCTCACCACCGATAACTAATTTCTGTTGGCTAGATTCTTTGATATTTGTTAGTGGTTCATTCAAATAGAACTGCTGCCATGGAGTATCCAAGTGGTCCAAATACCACTTGTCCTGGTTGCTTACAATGCACCTTAGTCCAGCCTTAACAACATTTTCAGCAACACCACTTCCAAGCCTGCAAGGAAGATTTTAAGAATAAATCAAATTTTATCAATCATATACATAGATAATTATGAATGAATCTTTACAAATAAAATTTTCAATGACCAGCTTATTCTATGACATTCTGATATAACGAATCTTAGGGACCAATTGTCTAGGTTGGATTCGAGTGTAGATCATACCAGTTGTGAACCACAGTTTTTGGACTCAATTTTTTCCCAAAGTTGTTGAATGTCTCCTCCCTGTCATGTATCATCTTTATGAGTGATAAAACGTGACAACGATGTCATTGATCATAGACTTCTATTCATAAGATTCATACCAGTTAACTAGTTCATATCCATGGGAGAGAGCTATTTTCTGAGCTTTCAAGACAAAGTACTGATACGCTTCGGATTCATTCATCCCCTGCTGTTTTAACCTGCATATTGAATAGTCAACAATCTAATAGACCGTCTACTGGTTTTCGTGGTTTATGAAAAAGTTCTAAGGAAGAAAAGCATCGGTCACAATAACTAATGTTTATTTTTAAAGGACTAGATTTTGATATTGTTACCATTTCGATATGTGAGAAGTCGTTCTCCAGCAACCTGAAAAATAGTAATGTATTCTTAATGAGTTATCATGATTGCATTGCCATACTTCATCTATGAGTGCAAGTTTAAAATTATTGAACTTACTTGTATTGACTTCATCACCTCCCAAGTGAACAAATTTAAATTTAAAGACTTTACTGAAATCTGAAACATTAAAAGTTTCAATAGTATTAGACAGTTTTCATAACTTTTTCTTCTTCGATGTAAAGCATACTTATTTACAGAAGAAAAAATGCGATGCCAGGTCTTTTGTAAACACATTATCTTTATGACATGAAGCTACTGTTTTGACAGATATGTTGACATTACCTGAAAGTATCCCATCTATCACTTTGAATGTAAAATCATTGCTGACATCAAGTGGCTGCTGACAGTCCTTTGATGGCCACAAAGAAGGATAGCCAACGCCCCTAAAAATTAAAACTATAAATTACTCCAAAACCTGAATGAAAGGACGTTGTAAAAGCTTCTTTACATACCATGATGAGCGATACCAAAGAATGAAAATGTAGATATTATAGGTGTTCATTTTTGCTAAAAATTTAAACAGAGCTAATTATAGTCGCAAAAACAACATAGAGACTTGTTCTCCTTTTGCTTGTTTGCAAACCCAAGTGTGTTGAATGCCCGCAACTATCTCTGATACTTCAACTGATATGTTCTTTACAGTGTCAGCACTTAAACAATTTGCAAGTTTAGGCAGATTTCTGGGTTTTTCTTACATTGCATTAGAGCTTAAATATTAATGTTGGGTACTTTCCTATTAGCTTAAATAGTTGGATCAAGTAAAAACTAAACAGATTTAAAACGGAAATATAATGATATATCTCCAATATGATAATTACCATCAATTCTAAAAATTACAAGCTCACTGTTTAATCTACTGTATAAATGAAATCGATGTTTGAATGAAATGTATGTTTTCTACGACAAGAAAAACACTGTAGTGAGAATTGCATGTCATAATTACCAAGAGAAAGCATGTCCCGGAACATCTATCTCAGCCAATACATTGATTCCTCGTTTTTGAGCGTAACTGCAAAATTTTGATGATCAATATGTTAGAGATAACTAAACAAGAATAATATAAAGGGTGCAAACAAGACTGAGATCACTTGCCTCACAATTTCAGCAGCATCAGTCATTGTATATCTTTCAGAAACTGAATATGCACCATCCCAAAGTTTTGGATATGAAGGTATCTCCAAAGGAAAAGATTGCGTATCTACAATGTGCCAGTGCAACACATTCTGGATGAAAGCAAGAAGTAATAGTTCATATAGATTAATTTGCAAAGGTGCCATCTTTAAAACAATTGAACTACTAGTTTAAACCAATGACATGAGTTATGCCAGCTTTATCACTTCATATAATTATTAGCACGACAAATATATGCATTCTTATTAGAGCTTTTAGGGGCTTAGCAGCTTAAATACTATCATTGTGTCCCTAGCTATCGACTAATGATCTTGAATCAAGCAGTAATGAAATAAAAATATCAACCAATTCACAATAGTAGCTTCGACAGTGCCGAATTACATACCAGCTTTGCATAGGCCATAGAGTCAATAACACTCTTAATCACTGGAACTGGTTGATAATGTCGAGATGTATCTGCAGAGATTTTACTTAATCAGATAAACATATTCATGTTGGAAAACAAAATTTCCAAGTCAAATAACCTTTATTAATTCCTAACAAATTGAATGCAGCTATGTTAATTATTTGCAGAAGTAGTTATATGTGTAGGACTCATCAATTACTGCAAACGATTTTCAAATAGTTTTTAATATACAAATTGAACCAGAGCTGAAAACGACAACAATCACTCGAACATGTCATAAAGCAAGCATAGAAAAGCTTCTCACCAATTAAGAGCCCTCGGAAAGGGAACCTTGGCTTATCAGAAATGGTCCATGGTGTCATTGGAACATCAATTATCCTGGACTTGAAGTTGAATTGACATATTTGGCTCAAGGTCTGCAACATTTCATGCAAATACAAGTATTTTAAGAACTACGTATTCTATTTAAACCTGCAAAGCATCAATGACAATGTACCGTGAATGACAGCAACTAACCTGAAGAGCATGTAAAGCCCCGTAAACTGTCTGCGCCTGCATTGTTTCATAATAAATTTGAAATGATCAGAGAGTTGAAAATTAATATTATCTCTGTATTTTACATCATGCCAAGTACACAAACAAATGATACATGCTCATCATCCATCAGGCACTGCCAACTATGCATCATGGACATACCTTCTTAAGGTTGCCTGCAGCAATAGTTTCTCATTTAAAGTTCATATGCAATCATAAATTAATTCAATAGACAAATGTCTTATTCATCCATAATGAACAAAGATGGTACAAACTGTACTGTTTCAGCTAAAATACCACATAAAAGAAGGTGAAAACCATGACAATATAACTCATTTGTTCATGCCAAATAAGCAAAGTTGAAGAATTTTACCAGGTTAAGGGCCATCCAAAACGAAATGACCAAATCTGATCTCTAATGTTCCATTCATAACAAACTTCACTTAAGCATTCACAAAGAGAATCAACCATGGAGTTGGCGAAGACCAAACAATTTAGATTAATTTTTTCTTTTTTATGGTCATCTATCCTATGTTTCTATCATCAAAATGCTTAGGAAGTTTTATAATGTATTTTGTGACGGTCCACTGACCTCATGAATTGGTTAAGAAATATAAACATTATTCTTTAAAAATAAATGCCCTGAAGATTTACATCCCAAAAAGCAGAGAATTATTTTCGATTCTTTTTTTGTGGTACAGACTTAATGCCAGCATTCAAAGACAATTATTTTCACTTTTCACATTCTTGTCAATGTTCTTGCTACATTCATGGTTAATATAAGTCACAATCGTATCGGTCCAACAAATTTCCGCCAACTAATTTCCAACATCTCAAATGTCAACAACTAATCCAAAACATAACTTCATAGTTGAAAGTAAGAATTAGAAAAAGGATCAGTTGCGCCCACCTCAATTTGCGCATAAGCCGGCATCTCAGGAGATGGAACCAATAACTTATAAGACTCATCAACCCCATATTGTAACTGCAAATTTCAATAACAATCTTATGCGTAAAAATGTTTATTTCTGTTTCTTAAAGTACATAAAAAAACATTAATCCTCCAGCTTTCAAGCCACAATTGAATTAAAGCTATAACCTCTAGAAATCTTATTGAAGAATCAAACAATCAAACAAAAGAAGAGCATTGATCCTTTAGCTTTCAAGCCAAAATTGAATTAAAGCCATAAATTTGGCCAAGCAAAAGCCACCACAAACTACAAACTACAAACATCTCATATTCGGAATCAAATTGCTAATAAAAGTAAACAAAAAAGAAATGAACAAAATATACCTCATCATGTTGAGTTAAAATGACCACATTCAAACCCACAAAAATGGAGGAATTATCATACTTGGAAACATTACCATCAACAGCATGAGCCAACTTCAAAAGATCAACAAACCGAGCGAACCCATCTTTCAAAATCCCAGAAGCGTCGCTGAACTTGCTTCCATGGCTCAACAACTTGAAATCTCCACTCATGTACATTTTTTTCTGGCCATGGCACACAGAATACGGCAAAGGCCAAACCTTTACATCTTCTGCATTTCCACCTCTTGTTGCCACCACCATTTTAACAAAAACCAACACAAAAACAAGAACCCACAAAGGAAATCTCCCCATCTTCACCACAAACTTGAAGCAAAATCAGTTGAACAAATGCACGAAGATATAATTAGTTAATGGCTATATATGTATAAAAAAATATGTGAGAAAAAAAGAATCTTGAAAGCTATATATAAATAAAGACGAAAGAATCGGGATTGATGTCATTTGTGAGTGTTTAGTATCTGTATGTGCACTTGTGAGTTAGACAGACAAGACAGGTTTTTCTCTTTACCTGTTTTATCTTCAAATTTAGTGAGGAGGTAAATTCATTATGGCCCCTGATATTTTTATTTTGTAATGAAATACCCTTGTTGTTTCCGAAGTAGAATTTTCATTGACTTAGAGGAGCAATGGGTCGTGTTGGAACAAGTTCATGTTGGGTTATATTTGTATCGTGTTAATTCTTTTAGTCAAAACTTGTCTTTTTGATTCATCAGGATGCAAGTTTAAATATGAAAATTTGAACTAGTTCGTTTTCAGAAGTATAACCTGAACTTGACTTATTATGAGTATTAATAAAAATAACCTGAGAGTATTTATTGTTTATACTTCAAAAAGAGTAAGTGAATCATAAGAGGTTTTCTATTATTAATTACCCTATTTTAAATATTTCATATAAATTTACTAATATGCCCTTTTTGAGTCAAAAGCATTTTTTTTTTTGGGGGAGCAAACGACATGTTCCCACCCAAAGATTAGTGAATGGCAAGTTTCTACCTCTCGTTTCATTTATTCCATATTCTCATTCTTAAATGACACTATTAGTGACTCTGGAGCTCTGACAAGTGCTATTACCAAACTGCTCTTGTACCATCCCATTCCAAACCATCACCACCATAGCCCTTTCCAAACCGAGTGATGCTATGGGTACTAATGGATGAGTACTAATATGTGTACTAACTAAAGCATAGTACCCGTACTATGCGCATAGTACGGGTACTATGCTTTAGTTAGTACACATATTAGTACTCATCTATTAGTACCCAAAGTATTATTCTTCCAAACCACCCCTTTCCCAGTTGGGTTTTTGCGTTTTTTGCCCAATTTCTCAGCCTTTTTCTATCCGCCCTCTCCACCGGAAATCATCCCCCACCAAGCCATTCAACTCATGGGGCCAACCTCTCTAAAACCCCCATATTTCCTGACCCTATTCACCCTCTTTTCACGGTTAATTGAAGGCCCTCTCCCTAGGGTTTGGTTGAGTTAAATGAGGATTGAGGTTTAAAATTGTTGGAGGTTTGTGTTGTTTGGGAGCCGATTGGGGTTACTTTAGAAGTGTTTGAGGCTTGTTAGTTTTTTCCCGGTCGCCGGTGCGACGACGCTCCTCAAGTATCCCTCTTTTGACGCTTTCCAACACGCACACAACGTGTTTAATAAAACGGCACAGTTAGCGACCTCTATCCCTAGTGCACGCCAACACCCCCACACAGCGTGAGCGCGATTGTGGCGTGGTGCTAGGGTTATGGTGTGGGTGGCAGGGTGTGTTGGCAGGTTGGCATCGAAGGTTGGCCAAAAAGTCGTGCGGCTGTGGAAGACGAAAAGTCGCTCAGATGTGGCCGACGGGATATGGTGAGGTTTTGCAGCGGCTTGGAGTTGGTGTGGGTTTTGCGGCGGCTGGGAGATGGTGTTTGAGGCGGCAAAGGGATGGTGGTGGAGTTGAGGCTAGGCTAGGTTGGGTTGTGAAAATTTTTTGGTAGAAAGACATAAATACCCTTTAACTATTACATTAAATGATTTTTTGTTAATTTAAGGGTGAGAATGTGGAATTTATGAAATCAGGGGTGGGAATTTGTCTTTTCAATAAACCTTGGGTCGGATCATTCGTTTACTCTTTTTTGGGAGGTTAAATAGAATTGTGTAGGATATCTTTACTTTAGGACTAAAATGATAAGTTTCAAACTACAAAGAGATTATTAGAGATTCCATAAAACATCAAGGATATAAAAAATTTTGCCGCGCAATATAATATTATATATCTGCCATTTGTAGTTCGATCTTCTCCGTTAATTTCGGCATGACCGTGGGACCCACTGAAATTGGAGGGTTGATATTCATAATTAATGTGGCTCAACTGTTTTGATCCGTACAAGATTCGTTTCTGATTTCTTAATGGTTTTAGATATATGTGGTTATACTTATCTCCCGCCAACTTTCTCTCCTGTGTGGGTCCCATTGAAATGCATGTGAGCAACTGACGATCTTGTCCATTGATTAAAATGTTTCTTGATGGGTAAATTAAATTAAAATTTGTGTAAAATAATAAATAAATATTATAAAAATAAAAAAAGCCAAAAACAGGTGGCGCCGAAACACGGTTCAACTAACTTCCACCAAAAAATGTCGCTAACTTCCCAGGCCCGACGTTGAATTCTTTTAGTGGAAAGGGAAATGGATTTGGTATTGATTCCCACTCCAAAATGGTTAGAGATATCAAATGAGTCAAGTCAAAGATCATGACACAAAACAAGAAGTATATTGAGATAATAAATTGCTGAAAAATGATACAATTGCTGAAAAACGTGTTATGAATTCACACATCCACAAACGTGTTATGAATTTTTTTTTTTAATAAAAAAAAATGGTATCATATTTATCGTTACGTAAATTCAGTATATATTTTTCAGTAACTATAGTATTGACGTAATAAAATATGTTTCACATGATAAAGAAATCTAATATAATGATTTGTCAGGATTATTAGAGATGTCATATGAATCATTTTATATAGAATTAATGGTATTAATCATCTAAAATTTGATTAATTAACCAAAAAAAAAAAAAAAAAAAAGAATTGTATGAAGTTTCTAAAATAACATAAATCTTTTTTTTTTTTTTTTATGACCGGGAGTGTCTACACCAGTTTATATATATCTCAACTAATTACAAGCCGGGTAAGAGCTTTGATAACTACCCTTATTATAAACCGAGAAGGGATTTGAACTCAGGGCTTCTTGAGTAATACACTCAAGAGATCATATCGAACTACTCGACCACGTAGAGGTAGTTCATAAATCCTTAAATTTTTTAAGTTCTAGTTTTTAAACTAAATGATAGGAGGGTAATTTGATAAAATATTCGTTACTTCATAATAGTGCAAGTTTTATGGGTTTACTAAAGTTCTTGAGCTTCCTACTAACTTTGCAGCACTTACTCTAAGAGCGGCAACAGCAAGTGCCCTTACTCAACATCTTTTAACAGGATGGATCAACTACTTATTTAGTTACGTTACGATAGAACCAACGGATGAAAGAACAACAATTCTCTGTTCATGGTTTCATGGGAAAAGAGTGAACAGTCGATTCGGCAAGGAGAGGTGTTACGAACACCAGGGCAATCGACATATTTTTTGTTATTGTAAAAATTTTAGAGAGGGTTTTGTCATTACATCAAACTTCAACGATAAATAGTTTTAACTCTTTATATAATAAAAAGTATGTTGTGAGAATAATAATAATATAGTTGTTTTATGGTATATTGTAAAGATATTATAAGATAAAATTTATAATTTCGATACATTGAAAATTGTAAATTAATAATATGCATCGAAATAAATATAAATCTTCTATCTAATTGTGTCCTTGTTTTAAGGGCAAAAATTAAGTTAACCTATAATATAATTTCTAGCATGATAAAAAATCTATGGTGTGAATTTTTATTTGAGATTAATAGAGATGTTAAATGAGTCAACTCAATGTCCCAACGTGTTTTCCACAACAAAAGAAAAAAACGTTTTGCTTAAGAAGAAATCTTCGGCGGATTGACTCAAATTGAGATCTCAAGCAAGAAAAATCCACCGAAAGGTTTAAAATAAGAGATATGCCACTAACTTCACGTTCAAGTTGATAATTTTTAATTTAAAAGACTTTTATTAATTATTGTTGATGCGTGATTTTGACACCAACAACCTTATACGTGTAAAATACTAAATAAGTCTTATAAATTACACATGATTGATTATGAAAGTTGTATATAGAGTTGAGATTATATATATTTGTAAAAACATAAATAAAAGACTGACAAAGAAGATTTTTATAGTGGTTCGGATGGTTAAAATGAATCTTATATCCACTGTTATTTTATTATTCTCTTATTATTTTTCTAATATTGCTTGTAAGGCGTGCAAAAATGGAGAAATATTTTGTTTACAGAGAAAAAATAATAAGACTCAAACGCATGCCTAGCTCTCATATGCCCAGCCAATCTCTTGTTCACGAAGAGAGGTGTCCATTTATACACTTTTGAGCTCAACGTAATGAGTGTTTTTTTAAGTTGCCTTGATACATAGAGAACTCATTCATCCTGATCCTTTACTTTGATAAAGGTGGGATAGGTGTTATAATATCTTTTGAGGCGATTTGGGTTTTGACAGTTAATACACTTTGTCTTTTAGGCAATGCTAACATTAGTGTGTATTTTTTAGGCATAACAATTATTATCCGTATTTTTTGTGGATGTATTATTTAATTTAATCAATCAACTCTTTGTGTTTCAAATATTATCATAATTTTTTTTTTTTTTTTGGTTAAAATCGTTAAATATTTATATTCGAACTGTAAAATAAGTCAATCACTAAGTATTGTTCAATTTTTATTTTTATTTTTTTTAATTTGTGTTATTTATTTATGAATAAGAGAAGAAAAAGGTGAGTCATTTAACCTTAATTTTATGGGTCAATTTGGTATGACAATACACGTTTATCACCTTTAACATTTGTATATATGCATATTCAGACAAGCTAGTTATAACTGTGGAATCAAACTAATTTATTGTTATAGCCTATAAGAAGGTTATAACTTAATAGAGGTTTAGTTACAAAGATTACTGTTTTGATTTTTGATTTTATAATTCACTTTTTAGTAGTATTTATTAGAGTTTCAATTCATTTTTTCAGTAGTCATTGCTGCAATTAGACAAGAAGAGAAATGAAATAATCCTAAGGATGATAGTATGGAAATACAAAAAGTTTTGTGCCGAAAAGTTCTAAATATGCTTGAGAAGCTAGAAATATTTTGGCTTCAACAAGAAAGTATCTATGCTAACGAGTTATTAAATACCCCGCAAGTTAAAAGATACGGTAACAACTCTAAAACGTAAATTATTTTCCCAAACAATTTTAAATAAATATTTTTATTTTATATTAAATATTTAATATAACATAACATATTTTTTTTTTAATATACATATAATTATTAC